TTCGTACCTCTGATACTTTCAAAGTATTTTCTCGAGATGGCAGAGTCTCGTGCTGATAATGTGGTATAAAATAAAGACTGTAAAGTAAAAACAAGTATATGGAGAAACTGATATATTATTCAAATTTCAAACTTATATACATAATGAACTGAAAACTACTCTATTTATAGAAGAAAGGAAGAAGCTATTAGGCTTTTCAGGAAGCAGCTGCAAGGCTTTTCTTTAGCTGCTTGTAAATTGTCTGCATGAGCTGCTTGCAACGTGCCTGTTTAATAAGAAGGTGCTGCAAATTGCTTGCAACCTGCCTGCATAAGCTGCTTGTAGATAAAATTTAACAACATAATACTAAATAAATAATCTATAACGGAGTAATAAATGAATATCCACAATATAATTATTTTCACAAGAAGTTTCTATATTTCCTTCTTACCAACAAACATTTTCTTTTCCCCTGAAAAATACAAAAAACCTCCTCAGAATCTTTACAAAAAAAAAAATAAAGTCCCGAAAATGAGTAGCTCAGCAACAGCGCCATGGAAGCAGCTTCTTCTCAAGTCCCTCAGCTCCAATTCCCATCTTAAGCATTCCACTTACTTTCAGCTCGTAAAATCCCTTCATTATTTCAATCTTTATTCCAATTTCTACTTAATTTCATGAAATAGAATTTACCGGAAAAATCAGTTCTTTATGATCTGATTTTGCTTATTGCATTATCAGGCAACTGTTGGATCCAATGGCCGACCCTCTAATCGAACTGTTGTCTTCAGGTTTATTTTCACCCCTTAAGCTTATAGTAATGCTAAATCCAGTGATTATTTTCATTTTCATTTTGGGTTTTATGGTTTTTGTTTTTCACAGAGGGTTTCAAGATGGTACTAACAAGATTCAAATTAATACTGACTCGAGAAGCCACAAGGTCTGTTTTTCTATGTACCCTCTTCCATGTTATGGCTGGTACTTGGGAAATTGATAGCTTTTTGTGTTAGAAAAAGTTTTTTTTGACATCCTTCTATTTTTTTTAATAAATTTTTGGAACTTTCAAGAATTCATATCATAAACTATTCAAAGTTTAAAACTTTTAGTAAGATGTTACTCCCTCCGGTCCACAATAAGTGATTTTTTGGCCCTTTTTTTGTGGTCCAAAATATCTGATTTTTTCAGATTTCAAGAATGAATTAATTGTTTTTTTCCTACATTGCCCTTGGAATAAATAATGTTGGAGTATGTGATAGGATTGTTTATGTGAAGAGATAGTAAAGGTTAATATGGTCAATTTCATTACTAATTAATGTTAAAAGGTGGATTTATTAATCTGTGTGAAAACAGCCAAAAAATTACTTATTGTGGACCGGAAGGAGTATTTATATTGTGAGGACTCATCATGAATTGGCTAGTGGTACGCCGAACTACTGACTGCCAGCCTACCGCAACTCCTCCTTTATCCGGGCGTGGGACCACCAATGTGAGCAAAAGCTCACACTGGGAGAGTTTGGGAAACATGGTCAGTAGGGATTTATATAGCCGATCGCAACCTATTTGGGACTTAGGCGTAGTCGTCGGCGTTGTTGTTAGTATGATGTTATCTCTGACAAACTAACTTTTTCACTGTTACTTTATAAATAGTATCTTCCACTATTATTTATTTAATATAGGTCACCTATAAGTCACAGGTTCGAGCTGTGGAATCAGCCATGATGCTTGCGTCAAGGTGGGTTGTCTACATTACTCCCTTGAGGTGCGGTCCTTCGCTGGACTTTGTGTGAATGCGGGATGCTTTGTGCGTCAGGCTGCCCTTTTTCACATAAATATCTTATAGTCCATGGTTATTCCAACAACCGTCTCATAGAATAGGACAGATGGAGTACAATTGATCTTTTAGTTTTTTCCATTTAAGTTGTGAATCTTTGCTTAGAACTGATGACAGTTTACTTGAACCAGTGCAGATTGAAGAACTTAAGCATTGCCCATTTGCAGAGGTATTTGTTACTTTGTTATTTCAGTGTTACTGAGGATAATATAATATGATTCGGCTCCTTTCTTTTTTATGGCTCGTCAAATGTGAAACATTTTTTTAATTAATCCAATGTCGTTTGGACGAATCTGGTAATGATTCAGGTATGCTGGTATTTCACTGAAACTTGGGAACAATATCGAATTCTTGGAAGAGTAGATATGATTGATGCATCAAATTCTGACCCAGATAAACTTAAGGTAATTCCCGCAAATCTTTACCATTTCATGTGCATATCTTTTACCTATTCTTGTCAAGTTCCTGAGTTTGTATTTGTTTTTCAAGTAATATATCTAGGCCTTTCACCTCCAGTTTCAAAGCTAAGTGCCTCACTCTCATCCTCTGATTTTAAGCTGTCTTAAAAGCTCAATTAAAAAGCAAAAAGTGCATTCAGAAAATTGCTGTATTCAGCACTTGGCTATGTTCAATTACCATGCATATCTGATTGTACTTGGAGCTTTTATACAAATGTTTCACAGTAAAATAGTAGTGGCACTTTCAACCAAATTCTATTGGTTTCATACTTCTGCTCTAGATATCCTTGAGTTATCTGCACAGCCCATATGTTCAGTTTTTGTATTTCAAATATCAAAATATAATCAGCATAATTGGGTAAAAGAGCTAGTTGATCAGATCAGAACATTTTGAGAGTAGTCAACTTTTGCTATTGCCTCAAATGACATTAGCTACATAACTGGTCACTTGATAAGATGCCTTCTATATGTAAGATATTGATATTTATAAAGCAGAGATCTCACTGTCTGTGATGTTGATCTCTACAAAATAGAGATCTCTCGCATCAACTTGATGCAGTAATTAAACTTACTGCATCAATTTTTTCTCTTGGTAAATAATACATTTTTTTTTTCTGGTTATAACAATTCAGCAAAGAGAGGCAGCTTGGTTTGCTGGTTCTGTGAGATCAAGACTACAGTATTTGGGGCCCACTCCAGGACTTCCTTCTCTAGATGAGCAACCATTGCACGACTCGTTGGATCCCTCTGCTGGTCCAGTTGATGCATTCTGCCTTCTATTTCTGGACCCTGAGCAGGTTTGAGTTTTCCCTGTTCATGTAACTCGTACCAAGGAGAATATCACCTCTGTAACTTTTCAGTATTTGTTGTTACTTACAGGTTGATTATCTGAACTTGAAAAGTAACGAGAGGCTATCATTTACGACTGGACAAAGTGTCAATGGTGAGAACTTTTGGACGCAAAATAAAGTCAACCCATGATATTTGATTTGCCATCCCATGGATTATGCTTGAACTATTGCCGGTTCAAAACCCCAATCATACTATTGGCATATGTACCGTAATGAATCTTTTTAGTACTATTGATATGATTCTGAGAGGAACGTTGTTCTCTTTGACTAAATAAACGAAAATATAGCGTTTCATATGTAATACGATCTACCATTACATTATAGAAATTTGATGTCAGAATCATAAGAGACAGGAAGTTCAAGTGTGAGAATTTTATTAATCAGATTAGTCATGGTTTTGCATACCTGTCTACAAAGACCTCCAGTATTCTCCTCTTGCTCCCTCAGTGCGTTCTACTTCTGATTGTACTATACGGATCCATGATTTGAACGCGATATTGCTTGCAAAGCTTCTGTGCAAATGAATATTTCAAGTTATGCCAAATCAGAAGCTTAAAAAAGGGACTGTGACTTTGTTTAATGAGATTGTGTAATACTCATTTTAGCAAGAAGCATCCCCAAGGAAGGGCATGCTAGGTGATTATTCCTATATGTAAAATTAAAGGGCCTATTTATATTAATTTTGGTTAGTTATCTGCCAAATTGTGTGTCATAGTGGGAGTTCGTCGTATCAGCCATGCAAGTTATGGAGTCAGTCAAGTTTCTAGACACTCTTTTATCCTTCTCCTCAGGGGATTTCTTCAGTTGTTAGAATGTGAGATATAACTTGTTCCACTGTGGATTCATTATGGATTTGTTGGTAGAATGGAATTTAACTAAAGCCTATTTTAGATTCCGAAAATTTGCTTAATTTTAAATCTCTAGTGAAGTATTATATACAATCATTGTACATTTCTTGGTTTCTCTAGTTCAGTGGACTACCAAGATGTTCTGGGTTTAATCTGTTATGATGCTCAGCATCTTCAGTCAAGACTATTGAACGTGATGAAATAAAAATATTAGTTATCTGTATTGTTATATAATGACGGTGTCAAGATGCGAATACTAATCTAATGAGATTTCACAGTTCCTGATGAAAGCATTCAGCTGAAGTTGAAGCACATGTGTACTAAGGTACCTCATCCTAACCTCTAATGCTTCACCTTCTGTTTGTGGTCCTGATATTCTTTCCCTTGTATCATTGTCATTTGGAGAATTCTGGTGGCCTTTGAATTTCTGCATTGGAATCCCTTTTTTCTGTCTTGTGAGTTGTGATTTACCAAGCTGATTACTCGTCAAAGTTTATTATGCTTTGACATTTTGAATGTCCCAAGTGTTTGTGCTAAGCACTTGCTAGTTTACTTGAAGGAAATGTTAAAAAGTGAGTTTTAAATGCAATTAGTTGGTACCAACCTCTTCTTCTGTTTTATTTTTTATTATTTGTGGGGAGTAGGGAAGGGACATAAATTTTCCTACTTGCATGTGTCTATATGTCTTATAAGGGCACCTTTGTCATGATGCATAAGACAAACGGATAAACAGGAAAGACTTACATGAACTTAGAAATCTCAACAAATGCCAATTCTTTGAAAAAAGGAAAAGAACAATGTATAGGCTTGCACACTTGGTTGGTCAAAGAATCTCCATTTGAAAATTATAAACCATCCATATTTTGTTGTTATCAACCTCAACCCTAATAAACACATATATATAGTTAGCATCTGGGCAAGTCTGCTGGAGGATGAGGAAGTCTTTGTAATGGCCCTTCCCCATTCTTCACAATGAACACCACCGATAAGCCCCAAGATAAATGTATCTCCAAATGACAGTGCATAAACCATGCCCCTATGCACAAAAAATGGTCCAACCAAGAGTTTATTACAACAGACTGTAATAATTAAGAGATGAAGTTCAGTTTCTAAAATTATTACCTGGATTGTCAGCAACGAATCGAATGGCAGCCCATCCACCTACTGGAACTCCAATTGTGTTCATGTATGGTGGATCCACCAGATTGAAGTTGGCTGTTTCGGGATCATAGTTTCCGGTACCATAGCCCACAACATAAAAGCTGTAGCCATGAAGATGAATAGGGTGGTTCTCTGTTGTGATAGTTCCGGTGTCCTGTAGGATAAGTTGAACCCTAGTCCCATAGTCAAGGACATACGTTCTAGTTCCATTTAGAGAATTTGTGTCATTAGGAGCATTATTAGGTGCCCCATTCACAAAATCATAGAACTTCAGGGGTACCCCAGGAAAATCTTGAGTGAAGTACCCATTGATGTTTTTGTAGTAAGCTTCTAAAATTGAAATGTTAGGCTTAATAAAGCTGATGTTATTCATGGAAGCAGCCATGACTCCACCCCCTTTAGCTTGGCAATCTTTCTGGGGATTCTTGGACCGGCATGTTTGCACGTTTAGTCCAATTGTCAAGAATAGGTTTTTGTCAATCTCCTTAGGAACAGCGACAGGATTAAGACTTCTAAGCCTGTCCATGACTGTCTTAACTGCAAGATTATCATCGAAACGCGGTAAAGCTGCAGGTAAACTCAAGTCATTTGCTCTGGCGCCATAATATTGGAAGTAAGCAATTGATGATATGTTTTGAAATGAGACATTTCTAGCAGACTGGTAAGGTCCCATGGCCATCGAATATCTTGCTATGGGTTGATCTGCTGTCACTAGGACATTTAATGTTTGACCTGGACCGAGCATGACTCGGTCTGTGGTCAGCGGTTTTGTGTACTCTGCATCAACTTCAATGATTATCAACTTGTGATTTGCTATGGCAAAGAAATGCTCCTGGTTCAGAGCTGCATTGATTATCCTTAACAGGTATGTGTTCCCAGGAACCACATCTATTTTATAAAAATCTGAAACAAATCATGACACTTTTAGCTAACACGAAAGGTTTAAAAGTAACAAATATTCCCATTAATGGTAGAAGTTTTAACATATTTTCTTCATATTTGAGTTAAAAGTTTTGAAGTAAAAGTTAAGTAATGGATGTCAAACTTTACCATTGGCGGAGCAATTATAGTTAGGGCCGGGGTGGCCATTGATGGTAAAAGCATCAGCAGGTGGCGGCGCTCCACCGCTAGCTAGAACTGCCTGCTCAACTTGCATGATGTCTTTCATCCAATACTCTCCTGTATATTCCCAAGTTTGAGAATAGTAAAACATTTTTGTGTAAGTCAGTGTATATAAGTTAAATCTTTTAAGAAACTCTTTGGAAATAAGATTGTTTTCGGATTAGTTATTGAAGAAAATAGTTCTCGATAACATTCCTATGCCAAAAAGGATTTACGTCATATACAGTCAGTGCATAAAATTTTTACACTACCAGTGTAAGATTACGTTTTATAGCAAGTTGCTTACCATTTACTCTAGGTGATCAATAAACAATTGTAAAATACATGATTGTGTAAATAGTTTTGAGTCCGTTATTACACAGAATTTAAACTCTTCTAAAAAAAGATAACTATATTGAATTAATGTACCTAAAATAATGATATGCTCTTCATAGGGAAACTTGAAAGGGTAAGGGACACCCTTCTTAGGGTAAACAACAACAGCGCCATAAACAGTGGCGCGAAGCCACGAAAAATGTGCATGCCAGAAAAATGTGCCCTTCTGTTCTACCAGAGTGAACTCGTACGTGAAGTTTTGTCCAGTTTGCAGGGGGCATTGTGTAATGTAAGAAGGGCCATCGTACCAACACGATAGCCTCTGCCGGATTCCATGCCTGATAATCTTCAAAAGCTCAGGTAAGTTTTCCATAATGTGAAAGAAAAATAGATGTGAAATAACCTAAGGAAAAAGTTTGTAATTAATCACCAGTGGATTGTGATATTGTATGGGGATTCATTTGTTACTCTGACGATAATTTTATCGTCTTCTTGAGCATAAACAACTGGTCCTGGATACATTCCATTGATGGTTGGAATGTCTTTGGTGTTACATAGCTTAGTTATTCTAGTTGTTTGCACCTGCAAAAGAAGAAATAACATTTTGATTATAAAAAAATAACCACTGAGTAAATAAAGAAACTAGGTAAAACAAGAGGATTAAACCTTGAAGTCATAGAATTTTGTTGATCTGCCTCTTGGCCATTGTGATGTAAAACCTTTAACATTGTTGCTGTAGTTACTGTAGAGTAAAAAGTTTAAGCAAAAGTAAATAAATAATGTAGTGACTAAGTTTGTCATGTTGAGAGTTGGAGAAAGGGAATTTACAAGTGGGCAGGAGAATGAAATAAGAAGACATGTTTTATATATAATACTAAGGCTTGAATATATACAACGAAGAGAAATTATTATATGTTGTGTAGATGTTTATATTTGGCAGTTTCCATGATTTCTCTCACATGGTTTTGTAATAATAAGTTGTTGGGAACGTCTTTATTCATATATGCTCAGAGATGAGCAAAGACTTTTGTTTTCATTT